CCTCCTGGCCCTCCAGTTTGGGGGCTGGAGGGTGGCTCTTTACTCCATAAAACGGACTGTGCAGCTCATTGTCAAAACCCCGCTACTTTGCGGTCAGGTTTTCGAGCTCGAGGCTTTGGTTGAGAATTTTATTGCTTCTCCTGTCTAAGCCTTGGTAATCTGCCAGTGTCCTCCTCATGCAATACAAAAATTTGCCTTCGAACGCTTATTTGACTCTCTTCCCGGCGTAGACGGCAATCAATGGCGCCCTATCTGCTGTATCGAGCGGGGCAGATATGGGTTCGGATGTTAATACCCAAATCCTTCCGTCCTCTTATTCGCACTTTTGCACTTTTTCACCCTTATCATCCGGCTCCAACTTCATTTTTACTTCCCCTGTTTTCAATACAGCAATTGTTGGCCCTCCCCCGACCTGCTTCACTAGTCCTCGGTCTCCTAGTTTCAACTCACACGCAATCGTCGGGCGCCGCTCCGGTCCAGTCAGCAAGCACATGTGCAACCAAGCGAAAAATGTCAGTTCATCCGTTTCTCTTTGGAATCCTCGGTCCTCTCTAAAACTAGCATGCATCAAGGTGCGCACTTTGCTACAGATTGGCCAACAGGCAGCGCTTGCCCGAACACTAGAGACCCATCAATCGGTATTTACTGCTTATCGGAAACCCACCTGCTAGATTCGAGCGCTGTGCTTACCCTGCTATACTCCACATGCAACACTGACGGCACTTTCTCATTGCCGCTGTTTGGTGATGATATAGACTCAAATACCAGTCAAGTCAGCGTGGGTGTTGTTTTGAGCCCCCAAGAGGAAGCTGTTCTGATCGATTGGATCCCAGTCAACAGCCGGATGTGTGCCGTTAGGTTAGTTGGCTCGTTCCAGACTTCGAAGTCGCGCGCGAACAAACAGTGCCTGTTTGTTATGGTGACCTACTCCCTCATAAACTGTAACACTGACTCGATGAAAGATGAATTCTATCACTAATTGAACCAGCTCCCTCGTCTCAGAAAAACAGTGCGGATACTATGGTGCTTGCTGGTGATCTGAATGCCCATGTCGGAAAAATGTCCTCTGATGAGCTTCATCTGGGTGGCCAACATGGTGTAAGATCCCGTTATCACAACCGTGAGCGGTTGCTACATCTGTGTGAAGATGCTCATCTCTTTCTCGTGAGCACTAACTTTCGACACAGCACTCGCAGAAGAGTGACTTGGCGCCCACCAGCATCGGACTGGCCATGGACGCCAATTGATCACATCGCGATCATTTGCCGCTGGAGCGGCTGCGTCCAATACTGTCGCTCCATTTGGAGCACGAGCTTGGAATCGTATCACGTATTTGTGTACTGACCTTCGAGTGTGTTTCGGCGGACGTCCGCAACGACCTTGTGATCACATAGACACCAGCTCACTGACGAAGCCAGGTGTTCTAAATTCATATCAAACTACGTTGGCACCCGATTTCAGTAAGTGCTTAGTGCACCCCGTTGAAGACCATTGGTCGCATATTTTCCAGACGTCACTATCAGCAGGCATGTCTTCATGTGGCAAATCGAATTGCCAACCTGGACAGTGGGTCTCTACACAGTCTCTGGAACTTATAGATGCTCGCCAACGTATGCTGGCTGGAAGCGTATTCGACGAGACTCGCAAAAATCTCAGGGCAGAGATGCGTGCTAGCATGAAGAGAGACCACTAAGCGTAGTGATCTCATCGTGCATCGGAGATGGAGGCAGTCCCTACCGTTGGTAACCATCGTAAGTTATTCCGGCTGATACGGGAAACGTGCTGCAGGAGACCTGGTGTTAGCGAGACCACACGCGACGAGAGTGGACAGCTGATCCACAGCTTATCAAAACGCTTGAAGCGTCGGGCGGACATCTGAGTTATCACCTTCCTTTTCGGGCATTGATTGCTCTTCTCCCATAGCTGTCACATTGGATCCTCTTTTACGCTGAAGTCGAGTGTGAGATCATACTGTTGAAATTGCATAATGCCGCAGGGACAGATTGGATTCACTCAGCCCTCTTCTAATTCGGCGGACCGTCTCTTGCACAATTTACTGATGAAACTGTATGAGCTGGAAATTGTCCCAACAGACTGGAGCCTCTCCGCAATAGTCTCCGTTTTTAAGGGAGACTCCCGTTTGGAACGCGGCAATCACAGAGGGATCATTCTGATCTGGATTGCTCTAAATCGCTTGCGTCTTTTGTTCCCCACAAACCGACTGTCACTCGTGAAAGCCAGATTCGTGGTAAGCAAGCCGGGTTTCGTCTAGGTCGGGGCTGCATCGACCACATCGTCACCTTGCGTCAACTGTTGGAGCACCGTCATATTTATTGATGACCCACCTTTGTCGTGTTTCTCGATATCATAGGTGCTTTCGAATCTGTGGATCGATGTGGTCTTTGGGACTGTCTGCTGAGGAAAGGTGTGTCTGCCAAATAGGTAAACATTATCAAAGCGCTTTGCGCGCATAGTTCTGGCAGTGTGAGGGTTTATGCCAAACTATCGCCGCCCTTCAGTGTCACCAGCGATGTGTGACATGATTGCCCGCTATCACCTTTCCTCCTTAACTTCGCAATCGACGAGGTCATAGAAACAGCATTCGCTGGACGCGATCTGGAATGTGTGGAGCTAGTTCCTGGTGAGCGACTTCTTGACTTGGAGTATGCGGACAGTAATACCCTAATCTGTGACAGCTCCCAAACATGGTAAACAGCACTGAACCGATTAGCACTGGCTGTCTATCGTTTTGGGCTATGCTTTGCAAAGTACTTCTCCACGATTGGCACGGTCTCACCCCTGCGATGACACTTGGTGGTGCAAGCTGGAGGTCTTTCAGGAATTCAAGTATCTGGACGCCCGTGTGATCCAAGTTGTGGTTACGAACCGTATAGCAAAATCTGTGGTACTTTTGCCAATCTCCTTCACCTGTGGCGCAGACGCGATATCACTCTCGCCTTGAAGGGCTGAGTTTATAATGCAACCGTCCGTTCAATCCTCTTATACTGTTGTGAAACCTGGCACATTAGATCGACAGATATAGAGAGGCTGGTCACGTTTCGATCATCACTGCCTTTTCAGCTTAACTTATGTTTGGTGGGAGCACCGTGTGAGCAATGAGCGTATTCGGCGTCGCGTATTTGGTTCTGTAAGAGCGAGTGAACTTCTCACCATCATTAAATCACACAGCGGGCTCCGATGGCTTGACCATGTGTTGCGCATGCCAGCACACCCACTCCCGCAAGGTGCGTTATTTGCGCGTTGTGGATGCGGTTGAAAGAGGAGGGGGAAGTCCAAGCGATGACTTGGTAGAGAGAAATGAAAACCCTCACTTCGAAGTTGGAGTCGGTTGGTGCATCCCGACTGCCTGTCTGGGGTCCTAAGGTCGATGAACACGTTTGGTTAGACACACTTGTTGATATGGCGAAGAGCGGGCCCCAATGGCGTTTGTGTTGTGTGTTCTTCATCCATACCCCACCCCTTTCGATCCCTCTTCGAATCCGGATCTCATACAAAACACATAATATAATATTTAGCATCATATTACCTGCTTGAAATCTTTTTGTGGTGTAACTTTTTAATCCTATCTTTTTGTATTGCGGTACATTATGAGGATGGTTTCAAAATCTTGTTTTCTCATTTTTGTTACTATATTAGACGGATTTTCTTGTCCATTCTGTCATTGACTCGACTCATGTCTTAACCACGCCCTACACCATCACCGCTTTCTCTATCACTAAAAGTCAGTTGCTTATTTCCATAACTCCCAGCTTCCTGTGTCATCCTTGTGACTTAGGAAGAGAAAAGTCTCCTTTTCTTCTTGAAATAGCTTCTGTGGAATTCTTATCCTATTTGTTTTTCAATTTATTCTGCTATTCTGAGTACATTTTTCTTTACCCTTTGTGTCTTGTTGGTACTTATAAGTACCACTTTGTTTAAATTGTTATCATGCCTAAATACAAGCGTTATTCCGGCCGGTACTCAAGCGGATATCTGTCAACAATTAGACAAGGGCTAGAACCCTACAGTTTGTGGTGTTAACTTTTGTGCTTAATGTTGAGCGTGGTCAGAAATTGGTTTCCGAGAACTGTGAGTGGTTGCTTTATTAAGATTCGGTTTTGTTGCAGCTTGTCAGTTCTATCGATTTTTATTCGTTTTCGTCGTGGACATTCCATGATTCCGTGTGTTTATTTTACAAGTTTATGTGTAATCCGTATCATACTGATTCAACACATATGTTGGTACCAGAAACTACCGCCAGGGCTCAAGCGTAATATTAACAGTTAGAGCCTTTGCTCGGCATGACGATGGAGTAAGGCGCAAAATTTAGCGGTTTACACAATTTATTCTTCCATTAGAAAGTTATTACTTTAACAGTCGTCAACACCTTCATTTCTACTACTGCGTATACATACTCTGTGATGAGTGTTTATTGAAATGTTTATTTTGCAGGTAGTAATGGTATCGAGCCAATATGAGTGGTTATATCTATGAGTTTGAAGTGTATCAAAACAAATCGCAGGATACTCCTAATTCTAAAGACAGATTTGGTTTCGGAGTAGTGTTGTGGACAGACCCAGACTAAGCGGAGGTGGTTATGTTGTGGTAATGGATAATTATTCCACATCTGTGGAACTATTTGAGCGTCTAAAGTTGAACAACATTACCTGTGGAACTGTCCGTCCCAACACGAAACATCTTCCTAAACAACAAGAGGACAAGGAGATGAAGAGGTGACTTTGTTTGTCGTTCTACAGATCAAGGAAGTGTGTTCTTCAATTGGGTGGACAACAAGTGTGTTCATGTGTTGTCCATCTACCGAGAAAGTGAAGCAGCTACTGTGAGGCGTACAGATCGTTTTGGAACAATGACCGACATAGTGGCACCCAAGCTATTGCTAGATTACAATTCAGCAATGGGTGGAATGGTCAGATATGATAGGAATTCAAAGAATGTTGAAACGGATTGTTTTTTACAATGATGAAATGACGTATGTCAGTACAAATATGATGTATCAAGACATGCATCATGGCATCTCACTTCTGGAGTTTCGAGGGAAATTGGCAATCGGGCTGATCGCTATGGGAAGCGGATCAGCGACAAAATCGTCCTTCAATCCATACAGTGTCATCACCACACGAATCAAAGAAATGGATTCACTCAGCCCTCTTCTAATTCGGCGGACCGTCTCTTGCACAATTTACTGATGAAACTGTATGAGCTGGAAATTTTCCCAACAGACTGGAACCTCTCCGCCATAGTCTCAATTTTCAAGGGAGGCTCCCGTTTGGAATGCGGCATTCACAGAGGGATCAGTCTGATCTCAATTGCCTCTAAATCGCTTGCGTCTTTTGTTCCCCACAAACGACTGTCACTCGTGAAAGCCAGATTCGTGGTAAGCAAGCCGGGTTTCGTCTAGGTCGGGGCTGCATCGACCACATCGTCACCTTGCGTCAACTGTTGGAGCACCGTCATATTTATTGATGACCCACCTTTGTCGTGATTCTCGATATCAAAAGTGCCTTCGATTCTGCGAATCGATGTGGTCTTTGGGACTGTTTGCTGAGGAAAGGTTGCCTGTTAACTACGTAAACATGAGAGCGCAATGCGCGCCTAGTTTGAACAGAGTGAGGTTTTATGGTAAGCTGTTACCGGTTTATAAAATCTCACGCTGTGTGAGACAAGGTTGCCTGTTATCACCTTTCTTCTTTCACTTTGCCATTGACTAGGTCATGGAAACGTAGTTCACTGGGCACGATCTGCAACATGTGAAGCTGCTTCCTGATAAGTGACGTCGTGAGTATGCTAACGATATTATTGCGCTTGCGTGTGACAGCGCCCAAACGTGCCAAGTAGCACTGAACAGATTAGCACTGGATCTCAATCATTTTGGGTTATGCTTTACACCGTCGAAATGCAGAGTCCTTCTGCAAGGTTTTCAGTGACCCATCCCTTAGCTGAGCCCTGGTGGTGATCAGCCAGAAGTCGTTCAGGAATTCAAGTACCTGGGCAACTATATTAACGCTTGTGTGATCGAAGAGGGGGTCACGGACCGTATAGAAAAATTTGGAGGTGCTTTTGCCATCTCCTGCGTCGTGTGACATCACTCTCGACCTGAAGAGCATAGTTTACGTTGCAGCTGTCTGTTCTACCTTTCTATGCGGTTGTGAACCACCCATGAGGTCGACAGCCACAATAGGTTAGCTACGTTCGACCATCGCTTCCTTCGCAGTTTAGATCATGTCTGGTGGGAACATCACGTGAACATTGGATGTGTTTGGCGTCGTGTATTTGGTACAGGATGAGCGAGTGAACCGCTCAGCACCGTTATTTCCCCCATCTTTCTCTGTTGGCTGGCCACATGTTGCCAGCACACCGGCTCCTGCGTCGCGCGTTGTTTGCGCGCTGGGTGTGTGGATGTAAGAGGAGGGGAGTCCAAGCGATGATTTGGCCATGAGAAATGAAGTCCCTCACTTTGAACTCGGCGTCGGTTGGTGCCTACCGACTGTCCGGCTAGGGTCCCAAGGACGATGAACACTGGTTGGATTCGCTTGTTGCTTTGATGAAGAGGCGACCCCGATGGCGTTTGTGTTGTGAGTTCCCTTGTCCATCCCTCTCTTTAGATTCCCTCTCCAATTTCGATCGCATTTTAAATGCATGATATGCTATTTAACATTATATTTATTGCTTATTGAACTTTTTTAGTCAGCAATGTTTTTCATCTTATTTTGCGCCCCATTAGCTGAGGAATGTTTCTCACCTTCAGCTAACATGTATTGAGGATGATGATGATGAGGACGCAGTCGCTTAGGTAACCGATGATTATCCTAGCCAGTTTTGCATACAAAGACGCTCAGCTCGTTTTGTTCTTATTACCCCTTATTTGCGTTGACATCCAAATTTCTGCTTTTCAAAGCTCCCTTGCTTGCAAGAATTTATCATTTCTTTTTTCTTCACTGAATCGTGGGGAATGCTGATCCTTATGAATCCAAAAATTTCCATTTATTAGAATGAATCAAGGGAGGCAGAATCTGAGTAAAGAATTATTTTCGGTAGTTCTCATCGGATTCAAACATTACATGATGAGAAGAAAGTGTTTAATGTGCCAGATTGGGCTGCGTATTGAACAGAATGTTTGAGGGTATGCGGGTGTTCTCCGAGCTCAGAGAACACCCGCATACCCCCATCCGCATCCCGAGCTACAAATATTCTCACGTATTTCGAACAGAATGTTTAATTTCACGGGTACAAATCAATAAATCACGGGGTCACTGGAAGTGGCAAGTATGTACAGGGGAAATCATAGCCGAAGTTGTAGGCCACGGTAGAAGCAAAGGACGTACAGACTGTTTTTGTACGCACAATTCTGGCTTGAGGTGGCGGATGTAGATAGCTTCTGCAACTTCTGTCTGTCTGGCAAGGCAAACAATGAGGACTCTGCTTGAACAACACGGAGCGGTAAATACCAGCAACCGAATTGAAGTCACACAAATGATGGAGTTGCTTGATTTCTGTCTCACCACACATTTCACTTTCAACGGTCAAATGTACAAACATATAATGGGTACGCCAATGGGATCGCCAATCTCTGGACTGGTAGCGGAAGCAGTGATGCAAAGCTTGGAAGAGAAGGCATTGTCAATAGTGGAGCCCAAACTTTGGGTACGTTACGTAGATGATACTTTTATCATCCTCAAACGCTCCAGACTACAAGAATCACAACAACTAATCAACAATATTTTTTCTGGCATCCATTTCACCAAAGAGGAGGAGAACAATGATCAGTTGCCATTCTTGGACGTGCTCGTGAGAAGTCATGCCTCTGGGTCACTGGAAACAACAGTTTATCGGAAAGCGACCCACACCGATCAGATCTTAAACTATCGCAGTAACCATCCGACCACATACAAGCGAAGTTGCATGAGGACGCTTTTCAAACGGGCCCAGACACATTGTAGCACGCCGCAACTGAGGAAGGCGGAGGAGAACCACCTATTTAACATGTTTCATCGAAATTCTTACCCTAGAAGCTTTATTCTACACTGCCTGATGTCGAAGAGCCAGTCACCACCCGCGTCCACATGTGCAACAGAAAGAAGAACGATTGTCCTACCTTACATCCATGGGATTTCTGAAATGGCAGCGAGGCTTCTAATGCCTCAGGGGATAACTGTTGAACACGAAGCAACGGAAATCATACGAAATAAACTTTTTAAGGTGAGGGACAGACTATAAGAAAGAAACACGGGTGTGGTTTACAAAATTTCCTGCAAGAACTGTGAGAAGTACTATGTTGGCCAGATTGGAAGAAAACTTGGCACAAGACTGCACGAACATAGTCTGGCCATCCGCCGCCACGATAAGAAATCCTTAATGTCGGTACACATGGATGCCGAAAGCCATCAGTTTGATCTGGAGAACGTTGAAATACTTGGAAGAGCAAGAAACCGCAGAGCGCTTGAGTTCCTCGAGGCCTGGCATTCTGGCCGGAACTCAATCAACAAACACCTGGAGCTGGAGGGTGTCTATGAAGCTCTGCAGGTTAAGCCAGCATTAGGCACCAGATCGACAAGGAGAAGAGGTGCCCACATGACGGACACGTGAACCGATCGAAGGCTAACATTCGAAGCAGGCAACAATCAATAGTCATTCAGATCTGGCATTGGTTTGAGAGACTCCGCGAATCAGCACCAAATAGCTGCACTGAAGATGTTACCTAGTTTGGTAACGAAACGTCTGCAACAGAAATGTCCAGCTCGGAGAACAGGACAATCCTTTCATACTTGCCACTTCCAGTGACCCCGTGATTTATTGATTTGTACCCGTGAAATTAAACAGTCTGTTCAATACGCAGCTCAATCCGACACATTTAACTCTTTTTTCTTCCCTGCACTTCGCTTTTCATTTGCCATTATGTGGCTCCATTTTGTCCATTTTTCTTGTCGGAACATTTCTCGTTTTTACTATATTTTCCCATCATGCTAACTTTTTCCCACTTTATTATTCATTCAATCTTGTTCGTTACAGCAGCCCTTTCCACTGAATACCGAGGCACATAAATTCTAACACTACCCTCTAGTCCTTTACGATTCTCTCACCTGTTTTAAGGCACCTTCATCAGCGAGTGATTGTCCATCAATCAACAGTTTCTAAGGCGTCACCTTTATTTTTTTACTATTTGTACACTAGAGAATTCAAACTACTTATTTCTGATTTGTATTTCTTGTCGTCTAGGTTCACAGCGTGTATCAATTAACTGGAGATCGACGTGAAATGGTTGACTGCGCTAGCACCGGAAGCATCGTCGCTCTCGCTGGTCTTGAGTCCACACACAGTGGCGACTTGTTAGGATGCCTCATGTGCCGGGGCTCCTATGTGGCGGAGAAATCCCAGGCTCCCTTCTGTCACTCGGATGAACTATGCAGTGTCGCGTACGGAGACGACGAGACGTTTAGTGCTCCTTGCCCCGAACTGACGCGGTGTGATCCTGTTGTATACGCCGCTCTGGAGCCTGCCACACTTTTTAGTCTGAAGAAGCTGGATCATGCACTACAGTGCATGCAACGCGAAGACCCCAGTTTCACTGTGAGCTCTCGTGATCCCTTATCTTTGCTGCTTATAAATAGCGTCCACTGCTTGTTTACTGATTTCGAGTCAATCGAGGTTTACGGTCTGTCGATATATTCTCGGCAACATTTCACCACCTAACAAATTTGAAGCATGGACGGTAAAGTACGCAGTTCTGTTACCCTCAAATTTCTCAGGACTTATGACTTGTTAGCTTCGGAGTTAGTTCAGTTCAGGCAATTAGCTACGGTTTATTCACCGAAGTGCAACGGACTCTTACTTTTTCTCTCTATTATACTACCGATACTTAACCACGAGAAGTGTATAGTGAAGTGTACAAAGTGAAGCGGCAATCAAGTTAGGATTGTCACTAAAAGCCTTCAGTGTTTTAAGCACAGAACCGAATTTATGGGCCCCATTTAACTGTTGCGTTTATGAAGGAAGCAGTCACGCGCCAACTTGACCGAGTTCTTGAGGGAACTGGCTCATACACCACTACCGTGTCATACATTGATACAAACTCCTCGGTCCATTCGGTCAGACACAATCTGAACAAACAATCTACATCACACCACGCTCTTTGTAAGTTTCCATCCTTATCTCACGTATTAACAGGACAAGTACTTTCATGTCAACTTGATAAATTTGCGTATCTCCTAATGCGGCTGGATTGGTTCTCGATTATGGATCAATCAGGTCGAGATGTTGGCTCTCGGTGACCTCGGTCCACTTTAGTAATGCCTTGTCTGTCCTTCAATCAATTTGTTATTCATGAGCGGGAGGGAAGAGTGTGGATGCCCTAACTTACATTCGACCGCTAACCACTACACCCCACACCTACCATAAAATGTCTTGGTGTACTCTAACACCACCACTTGAAGTCCATGGACAATACGAACAGACTATGTCGTGGTCGACTGCGCATGCTTTGGGTGCTGAAACGCAAATGCTTGGCTTGGCTTGGAGAAATCACTATTCACCACTTTTTCGCCATTATCACGCCAACGCTAACTTACAGCTCACTCGCCCGTTGTTTAATCACACGGGGCGAAGCGCAGAAAATCGAATGGATTCAACTTGCCACTACCAGACTCATTCCCGTACGGAGACGGGTTCGAAAGGCCATGACTGTGCTCCGTATCCTATCGTCGAGTGCCAGTTGACCTCACCATAATCCACTGTCTTCACATACGAATTGGTTCTCCATGCTGAGGCCGCTGCTCCATCTGCATTCATCATAAGACTCACGCAGGCATTTGTACGAACTTATTACACCAGCTCTGAAACGAATCATCAGTATTTATACATCTCTGCCATGAAAACCCGTTGAAGACCGAGTTGACTACGGAACAACCTCTTACCGAGGAAAAATAAAATAGTCCACTACATCGGCTAGTAATCTGACACCCGTGAAACACTATCTCAATTAGGGGACAGATAGCTGCGAGTGTTCCGGCAGTGGCGTCGAAGCGGGGTGTGTGCGTATGTTTATGCACACAATTCGAACATGTGCGCTCTGCGTTCAGCCCGCCATTCGGATCCGATCGCTCAGTTGCACTACCAGATAAGGATTCCACTTGCAGCTTAACGCAATGGATCGGTGTAAATTTCCAGCTGGCCACATGACTGTTCACCGGATGGGAATGTTTGAATAGCTTTCCGACCGTTGCACCGGCCAGCCTTGTGTGGAATCAGCTCCTTACACTGACGCACTCGACCTGGTTAGGGTGTTATTCGCATCAAATGGGTACCTCCGCATACGGACTTTAGCAGGCTCTCATTTTGACAGCCCTCAATGTGGTATGGCAACAAAAACGAAACGTTCCAAACTGATTAGTGGAAATCAGTCTGAACGTACCATTGCTTACTACCTCTATCGTTTACAGCCATCGCAGTTGTCAAGCAGATCACCCGCAAGAACTCCGGGATAAAGTTTCTCTGGGAAAGTGGCGTCGACCGCTGCGGTATAGAGTGCATATGAAAAGCACTACACTAGGCACGAAAGTTGCAGCGGCCTGGATTTACTTCAACACTCTTACCCACATCCTTGACACCTTCAAAGCCCAAAATTGTTAATCAGACAACCCTTAGGTTTTTGGGTCGTTTGTGTAAGGATCGCTTGGTGATGAGAGTGCTTATCTATAAACTTCACATGGTTCCATTTTCTTAGCCGCAGAAAGAGGTTCCGATTCGATAGAGATATCAAATCCTGATACGTTTTGTTGACAGTTACTAAATTACCTTTACGGTTAATGGTGACCATCTTCAGGTCACCGGGTGCGAGCGGAATGAGCTATTTTTTTGGACTAGAACACTACCAGATTTCGAGAATACACATGCTGCAAAACATTCTTTCGGTGTTTACTGCTCATATCAATGTAACTAAAATTGTGATGGTTACGTTGACTCACTAATGTTTGGTATGCCTCCCACGTTCGCTGATTTGTCTTCTTCATCGTTTGTATTAGCTCATTACTCAGTCGTGCAAGCGTTGTCCATGTTTGGTACAACGCGCACCTCAAAATTTCACTCGTTTGTGCACTAGCGGACTGATATTAGAGAAACCAATTTCCACCTTGTAGATTTTCAGCTAGTTCCCCTGGTCCGCCGAACCCGGATCGACAGATCGATGACGCTTCATGCGCGTCCGCCGGTTCCTACCGCGGCCTGCGCGTAGCCTTCACAAATCTTTGTAGTTTACTGAACACATGTGACGATCTGTTTCAATTCTTTGCCTCTCGTCGTCCTGACATATTAGGACTGGCTGAAACCTGGTGAACTCGAGGTCGATACTTAGGAATTCTAGATCCGTGGCTACTCGTACTTCCGATGCGACAGACTATCAAACGATCGAGGTGGCCTGCTGTTATACATTCGGTCCTCGCTGTACGGGAGATTGGTACACACCTACCGCAGCGAAGATGGCCTATGCGAACAGCTGTGGTGCTCGATCTGCCTGAAGCAACGTGAACTGTTTGTGGGTACTGCTTGCTGCAGAAATCGATGCCTGGATTCGTTACCGCATGCCAGGAACTACATGAGTCGACCCCGCTTCCTGCTTATGGGTGAATTTCACTTTCCTCAAATACGGTGGCCTGAGGCCCAGCTTCTCCCCGAGCACTGGGAAATCGAAGCGCAGTTTGCGGAGACGCTATTTGAAACATGTCTGCCATCCGACGCGCGTTACACCACATTCCGCTCCATCGTGCTTGGACCTACTATTAACTAGTTGCACTCAACATGTATATGAAATTCAGGTCCTGGAGAATCTGGAAGCTAGTGGCCACTCGATGGTATTAGCCAGTCTAGAGCTGCCGCTGTCCTACTCGCGTCCGCCAGAGCCACCCTACAATTATTGGAAAACCGACTTCGTTTGAATCAGTCAAGCCACCAGTGAAGTTGACTGGTCAGTGCCGCAGGATTCATATGTTGAAGCCTGTTGGTCTGTTATAAAAGTGGGTATGCAATCGTTGTGCGCTCGTTTCGTACCCCCTCGGAAGGCTGGACAAGTGAAGCCATCCCGGTTCGACAGAGAATATGGCCAATTGGCTGGACGGCGACGCTTATTCTGGAATAAATTCCTCGTGTCTGGCTCCCCCGACGATTATGAGGCATCCAAAAGGCAGCAGAATCTATGTAACAGTGCAAAAGTGCCGGCAGTTCGAAGCGGAGCTTGTAACCTCAACGAAGAAGATTTTTGTTTATTTAAAGCGGCCTTTGAGATTTGCAAGTGACGTAGCTGTGTTGGAGGGCACTAACGGGCAGCTTCTGACCTCCAGCACTGAACGTGCGTCCCCATTGGCGGAGCACTTCGCTTCCGTATAAACAAGTGGGCATGCGCCTATGTCGAGCTCGACGTGTGCAGCACCTACTGAACTCGATGGCCTTGATTGCGGTGTAGAAGATGTCCGCAGTCTACTCACCAGTCTTGATCGCACGAAACCTGCCGGACTCGATGGACTTCACCCGCTAATTTTGAAACCTTATCCGCCATCATCTCGCCTTCCATGACGGATCTATTCAACAGATCGCTGTCCGAGAGTGCATTGTCAAACGACTGGCCTAAACCTGATTAAATCCTGAGCTCACTACCCAAAAAGTCCAGATCATTGGATACTTGTGCTTCCGGTGCGACATAATATCAAACGATCGAGACGGCGTGCTGTTCATACATTCGGTCCTCGCTGTACGCGAGGTTGGTACACATCTACAGCAGCGAAAATAGCTTGTATGAACAGTTATGGTGCTCGATCCGACTGAGACAGGGTGAACTGATTGTGGCTGCGGCTTATTGCAGCCCGCGATCTCGATACCTGGATTGGCTACCGCGTGCCAGATACTACATGAGTCGGCCCCGCTTCCTGCTTACGGGTGAATTTAACTTCCCTCAAATACGGTGGCCTGAGGTTCAATTTCTCACCGGGCACTGTGAAATCGAGGCGCAGTTTGCGGTGATGGTATTTGAAACTGGGGCAGCACATGTCCGCCAGCTCACGTTCCGCCCCATCGTGCGTGGACCTACTACTAACGAGTTACGAGCAACGTATACATGAAATTCAGATCCTGGCGCCTCTGGCAGCTCGTGACCACTCGATGGTGTTAGCCAGCCTAGAGCTGCTGCTGCCCTACTCGTGTCCACCGGAGCCGTCCAACGATTATTGGAAGACTGACTTCAATGGTCTAAATCGAGCCGCTAGTGAAGTAGACTGGTCGATGCCGCAGGGTTCATCTGTTGAAGCCCCTTTGGTCTGTCATAAATGAGGTTGTGCGATCGTTTCGTACCCCTCAAGTATCGAAAAGCTGGACCAGTGAATCCACATTGGTTCGACAGAGAGTATGATCAATTGGATAAACGGCGACGCGTACTGTGTAGTAAATTCCTCTTGTCTGGCTGCCAACGATTCTGAGGCGTGCAAAACGCAATAGAATCTATGCAACAGCGCAAATGCGCGAATGCATCGGCAGTTCGAAGAGCAGCTTGCAACCTCAGCGAAGACGGCCCCTAAGAAGAGCTTAGC